TTTTTTCTAAAAGTGTCCATTATCTTTTGAGTCAAATTCTTACATTTAATCAGTGAATTAGAATAATAGGACATTTGGGGCCAGTTTTACCAAATTAGCGCGAGAGCGCAATTCCAAAACAGCGCCGATGGGAGGGGGAATTTCTGTGGGTGATTTACTAACAATGTGCAAATTAAAGAACACAGACACAACATCTCATTTACATATCGACCAACGCAATATACCAAGCGCAGCACAAATTAGCGTTGTTGCAAATAAAGAAAAAAGAAATAAAGAAGCAACAGTTTGTTGAAAAGAACCGGAGGACAAAAAAATGAAAGTTTGCTAGAAGCTTTTATAGACCTGGTATTGCGTGACTCCTAGTTGAGGGTTCCAAGTCATCTTTTATTTCCTGAAGCAAATTAAAAATAACATGTCTTGGCAAACGATATGTTCAGATAATGTGTTCTTCTGCCATTCAAAATAAATAAATACACGTGGAATACCTCTCTCTTACCACACGCTCTCTGTTCTCTGCGGTGCCTCCTCCTAGCAACAATAATTGCAGCCATTGCAAGCGCAAAAGTTTAAGACATGCTTTTTCTGGGTGTTAAATAATGGCGCAAATGCCAGTAATTTGACGAGCGCAAACGTTAGTAAAACGCGTTGCGTGATTCATTTGAATACTCTCCTCCCATAAATTTTGCGTCTGAAAGGGAAACTCCTACAAATGCATATTCAATAAGTTCAAGCGCAAACATGTTCTGTGTCCATGCCTTTTCAGTGCTAATTCATCACTGCGCGTCTTTAGTAAAACCTGACAGTACAATTTTAACGCCAAAAGACGGTTTGCACTGGCGCAAGCTGTTAGTAAAACTGGCCCTTGGGCTGTTACCAAGCAAATGAAATCAGTATCAACAAAATTCATCTTTGTAATGCAGAGGAAACAGAGAAGCTGCATCTGAAGTGGCATTTAGATGTATTTACTAGTGCTGGGCAATGATTACATTTTTTTATCGCGATTAATCGCATGATATTCTGCGATTAATCGCATTGTTATGCACAAAATTCAATAATGAATTCAAAATTCATTGTGCACTTTTTTCATTTAAAACTACTGCTATATGAACAAAAGTGCAATAACATTTGGTTTGCAAACACTTTAAACAAATAAGGTGCTTTTTTTACAGCAGTATTCCTTTTACATAATAGCAGTTAAAA